TTTATAAAACATAGGATATGACTTGACAATTTTATTTTACAGTTGTTCTTACATGGTTCTAACGTTCAAACTAGAAATGTAATTTTCAACCTCTTCTATTCTTCGAATTATGGTATGATTGGTCTAATTTGGGAAAAACATAATTAGGAAGTACTTCCTCCGTTTTGGAACGTTCTGGAGTATTTGTCTATTTTTTACTCTTTTTTGGTCAAAATTTGTAAATTTTGACCTCAAATTAAATAAAAGAGATATTAGATATTGATTCAAAAATAGTTTTATTAGATTTATTATATAAAATACTTTCAACATATTATTTTATCTAATTAAAATATACTTCGTAATATATATTTTATTTAATTATAGGTCAAAGATTGACAACGTTTGACAAAAAAAGTCAACGTTGGTTCCCTAGTTTCATTTTTGGGAACTTAAACTGCAAAGCTACGAAAATTAAGTAAACTATCACCCTCTCTCACACATACACAAAAATGCCTAAAGATCATACATAACATCCAAATCCTAAAAGGCAACAAAAGCTCAATCTAAAAAAATTTCCTCAAAGAAAATGAAGAATAGATATATATTTAACAGAAAAGGAGCTTCAAGTATACTGAAATAGGCTGAAATTACTCACACCACACCTACTGGCAGTTGCTTTTGTTAAAATTTTTGTCATTTTAATAGGCATTAAATGAACCAATTTGGATATGTTTATCAATGGGTCTACTTACTGACTTAATCGTTAATTAATGGACGTGTATTATTTTAAGTGAGATAATTATTTTGATAATTTATATGCCAAAAGTGGTAGAGGGTGATTGAGAAATTGATTCTCAAAGTTACCTCGTTAATAGAAGAATATGGTAAGATCGCAATTCTTGCAATTTGATTGAAATAATCCTCTATTATTATTTTTATGTGTTGTTTAAAATTAGTCCATTTTACGGAGTTAACTAGCCATTAATCTCCAATTATTCGGGACAAATCTTAAACAGAGCGTAGTGTAACAAACGTATTAATGGCTACTTAATCACCGTTAACACACCATTTGTATGCCACTAATGCCATGGTTTAATACCAAAAATTAAGTGTGAATATGTTAGAACTTTAATGTCTTGTTATAAAATTCAAGGGGGCTCTCCATTGTGTGGGTGTTCCATATGTAAGAGGAGAAGAAGAAGAGAAGAAAAAAACCTTCTTCATTTATCAAGAGAGAGCTATTGATTTTCATCCAAATTTCTAGCGATTCCCTTCAAGGTTTTTTTTGTCGCCAACGTTTCTACGTCGTTCTTGTTCGTTAGTATGTGGTTGGTCCGTACAATCACCACACACAATAGCGGTTTTTATCTTGAGAGGGGAGCGCCCACGTTTTTCCAGTACGGTAGGGGGACACTACTACTTTAAGAACAAGTCCGGCGACTCCGCTGTCCTTCACGATGTTTGGTTTTGCAGGTGCAGTTCATAACGACCTCGGTGCATTCTGCCCCAGGCCGTAATGTCTTCACTGGAGTTCTGGTTCTAGCCATAACGACCTCGCCACTGCTCCAGCGACCTCGCTACCTCTCGCAGTCACTTCATCCTAGACTTACCGATTCAGCCCGTGCATAATATCCTTGCAGTCCAGTGCATAGTGTCCACGTACAGCAAGGACGCTTGAAGGTCCAGAAAGTCATTATTTTCAGTTCTGCTTGTTATGTCGTATTCTGAATATAATATAAACTCAAAATATATTTAATATTTTTTCGGAGTCGTTCATCTTCCTCGTCCGTTGTAATCCGTACGTAATCTGTAACAGCTTTTACACGTATTCAATTAGATAACAACAAACTCAAGCAAAAAGCTTCACACACATGTAACGTAGATCTCAACGCCAAAGCCATTCATATATATATATATATATATATATATATATATATATATATATATATATATATATATATATATATATAGCCCACCAAGAAATAAACAATCGGTTTGATATATAGCATCCACCAATTCGAAGCTAGAAACAATCATATAATTCACTAAAATCTTATCGGCATACTTTACAAATCAATCTAGACTCCAGATAGAGTGTTTAGAATATGCACGGTTAATTCTCTATAATGCGCTAGCTACAAAAAGTCTATTGTGGAGATTTGCATATCAAGGTACTAAGTTGCTCTCACCAACCTTAATGATCGAACATAACACACAAGTCCATGTGAACACAAAAATATGTACTAGAAAAGAATATAATGAAACATATAAAGGATTATGAAAGACAAAGGTTAACTTGATGTTTCACTATGGTTTCTTGATGGGTGGTTGACCTATCACATCACCCATCAAGGTTAACTTGAGGTGTTTCACTATAGTCTTCCTAATGGGTTGTATGCATTATCATTTGTTTCACTATCCACCATTCTCATTTGAACTAATATATATAATATTAATAGCTCTTAGATCGATTTTTAGAGCGTTGCATTTCTTCTCCGTATACTAAAATTTCATCTCCAAATTTTTTCTAAGTACAAATGAAATTCAATAAATAAATTTCACACTCACATTACCACGATATCGTTAGGTGAATGACTCCGTCAATCCCAATGAGATTTCTCATTGTTCATATATATATATATATATATATATATATATATATATATATATATATATATATATATATATATATATATAACGATGTTGTCATCGATCACAAGAACCCGATAGCCCACAACATGGAATCTGTGAATGTCTCCACAACAATCTTAATCAACAAGAAATCCCGAGAACATTTTGTACGTACAGATGGATGTCACGTTGTCATAATTAATTATTCATAAAGAGAAATGAACAAATTTAATTTTGAGTACGATCGAGTCTATCTAAACATCGAGTAAATATGCAATTGACGACATGATCACATTCGAAAACTTGCACGTACGTATCACGGAGGAACTCCATTAAAGCTCACCTTGAAAGCCAAGTTTTGGGGGGAACTCGACCGATCAAAATGAGAACCTATATATATATATATATATATATATATATATATATATATATTACTCCCTCCGTCTCAAAAAATTTGTTACGTTTAGAAAAAACTGCGTCCCGTAAAGTTTGTTACATTCATATAAGCCGTTATTCCGTAACTGATCGCGACAAAAAAAAACACACACACAAAATTGTTATGAATCTTATGATGATTAATGTGAACGTGACTCGCTAGCTTTGTGGCTGTGACGACGACGACGGCGCGTCGTTTGATTTCTTCTTTTTCCGGATCCACCGAATAAGCACCCAAATCAAAAAAATCAGAGAAACCACCGCCACGACAATCGCAATGGTGGCTATAGCTATTGGGGATTTCACGCCTTCGGGACCATCATCATCATCGGCTGCATGAGCTGCTCCGCCAGCTGCGGCGGCGGCTACGACTACTAGTAGTACAATACGGCTAGTTATTTCGACAGTATTTTTCAGTGCTCTAATATACATTTTTAATTATATATACTTCAGTGTATATATGGAGTTTAATTTGTAGTTGATTAATTACTATTAATTAAGATATATATGTATATATAATCACATTTCACTAGTTAGTTGAATTGCGTGCAAGGTCGTTTACCCGCCGCATCAGACCCTAGCCTGCTAATTCGCAAAAAAGATAGATAAAGTAATTCGGAGAATATTAATTTCTCCCTAAAGTATAAACATGCATATTCATGAGGGCCGACCTTTTCTTTTTAGGCGTGTTTGAATTGGTCAGAGAGAAAATACTCCCTCCTTTTCTCAAAACGGTTCCTGTTTTGATTTTGGGGAAAAAATAAGGAAAATGTAATTTTAGTTGACTTTCTAATTTTGCACCTGATTGATGGATAAAAGTAAGATGTGATAGTTTAGTTATTAGTGAAAAAGTATGATGTGATAGGTAGGGTATGAAAAAGTAGGAGTAAAAGTGGTTTTTTAATAGAAAAAGGAAGTGTTTTAAGAAAAACAAAAAAATAAAAGAAGAAGGGTTTTAAGAAACGGAGAGAGTATATATTTTTTGAGAAAAATACGATGGTCTACTGTAGAGTTCCATAATGTCACATGCATTGCAAACTCCTATATTGAGGATAAAAATATGGAACTTTTATGTATTTTGAGAATAAATGCTACTCCCTCCGTCCCTAAATAAAGTTCCATTTTTGACTTTTTGAGGATTTAAGGTAGGGATATTTTGGTGTTGACTTTCCAAAAATACCCTTGATGTGATGTGTAAAAGTAATATGTGATAGGTAGATTATTAGTAAAAAGGTATGATGTGATAGGTAGGGTATGAAAAAGTAAGGGTAAAATGGGTTTTTTAAGGGAAAAGAGAAGTTTATTTAGGGAAAAAAAAACGAAAGAGAAACTTTATTTAGGGACGGAGGGAGTATGTTTTACTTTTTATTTAGAGTGATTTTTTAAGAATATTTCCTAGACAGAAATGATTTTCCTCCCCATTTTCCTTAATTTGGTAGGATTGAAGAATTTCTTTTTTTAGAAAGTATAGTTATTTGTTAAGATTTCAAAATTGATATTTAAGAATATGTTTTAAAGATAAGTTTAAACTATTTTATCACTACAAGAATGTATACTTAAATGGGACGGAGAAAAGAGACGGATTTCTGTCTCTAAAATTGTTTGTCTCTTAAGACAGAAAAGAGAGACAGATTTCCGTCTCTAAATATATGTTTAGACAATGAGACAAATATAGGGACAAATATTAGTCTCATCCTTTAATTCTTTGCCCCTCTCACCATACATTTAATAATATATACTTTTCTTTTCTTGAACAAAATATATAGGGAGTATGTGTGTGTGTGTGTATATATACGTAGTATGTATGTGTGTGTCTATATACACACACACACACACACACACACACATACACACTTTTCTTCCTTCTCCCATAAAAATTTTATACTTTTCTTCCAACATCTCATATTCCTTATCTTATTTCTTTATATACCAGGCTAAAATTTTACAATGAATATGATCATTCTTATATAATTGAAAATCTAGCGAGATATATTACAATCAATTCTTTTTCAGGTATATACGAAATTCTACTCACTATTAAATTTTGAATTATTGTGTACCTACTACTTACCTATTAATTACAGTGTTGAAATTACAATTCAAATTTAATTTTTTTATATTTTTAGTTTTATTCGATTTACAAATTGATTGAGATTATTTTAACTTAATTTATCAACACATTTTAAAAAAATTGTGTTTGTGTGTGAGTATATACTCCATGCATGTGAAATATATATTAACCTTGTGAAAAATATAATATATAAATATATGAATTGATCATGTGAAAAATAATATGTAATAATGTTTTGGGAATTAATGGTACAATCATTTGGATAGTATTAGTGTTTTAAAATATTTAATTTCAATATCATTGTGAATGTGTAATTTTAAAAACCAAGATTGCATACCCACACACACACACACACATATATAGTTGATTGTGTGGTTATTATTATTATTATTTTAATTATGTATTATACTCATGTAAAATTACATATCATTGATTCATACGACTTGGATAGGATATTGGAAGAAGTCTCTCTACTTTCGAGTAGGGGTAAGATCTTGTTTGATTCACGACTTAGATAATTTATTATATGTATTTAAGGTGAATATCTATGGTAGTGTACATGATTATAACTAGTTTAAACTATTGTAGGTTAGTTGATAAATGTCAAAAAGGCGAGAATGGATGGGAAGACGTTCGATGGAAAACATGTGGATTAATCAAGAATTTTTATACGATGTGGAGGAGTTCATTAAAGTCGCATTTGCAGATAACTAAGATATGGTAAAGTGTCCATGTAAGAAGTGTCGGTTAAGATTTTTTTGGGCTTCAACAAAAATTGACAAGCATTTGCGGAAGAATGGTTTCATGGAGGATTATGAGATTTGGTATTGTCATGGTGAAAGGTTAGGAAGCAAAACTAATTTTTTCGTAGAGAGACGTCTAACATACAAATGGAGGGACTAGAAAATAAGTCAACAAATCTACCTGAGTCTAATTTTGAGCAAATGGTTTTAGAAAACATGGGACCAATTTACGATTTTGATCATAGTGTCGAACATGGTGAATATAATCAAACACATTACGATGATGGGGACGATTATAATGATGGTAACGAGAATAATAATGACATTGAAGTTGACGAGAATAAAGACATCTCTGTAGAGCAATATTATAAGATGATTGTTGATTCATCAACAACATTATATGAAGGATGCCAAAAATTCACAAGATTGTCGATTGTGGCAAAATTATTAAGTGTCAAAAGTCAATACAACATGTCAGATACATGTTTCAACAAAGTAATTAGTACTTTCAAAGATGCATTGCCCAATGATAACACTTACCACATAATTTCTATTAGGTGAAACAAATGATGAAAGGACTAGGATTACCGATGGTTAAAATTGATGTGTGTCCAAACAATTGCATGATTTACTACAGAGATACATTTAGTTTGACAGAATGTCCAACTTGTGGTTTATCTCGTTATATTGAATCTACCATGAACAAAGGTGGGAGAAAGAAAGCCATAGCAAAAAAAAGTTTATCGTTACCTCCCCATTACTGATCGCTTAAAGCGTATGTACATGTCATCCAAAACTAACAACCAAATGACATGGCACTTTCGGAATGGGAGTATAAATAATGGCACAATAGGACATCCGTGCCAGGCAGATGCATGGAAGCATTTTGATGAATGTTATCCAAAATTTGTTGCCGATCCTAGAAATGTTAGGCTTGGACTATGTACGGATGGTTTCAATCCAAATTCGAGTACGGGTAGTGCATATTCTTTATGGCCTATATTCATCATTATCTATAATTTGCCTCCAGAGTTAGTTATGAAGGAACCATATATACTGTTAGCAGGATTGGTTCCAGGGCCATGTAGTCCAGGACGAAACATTGATGTATATTTACGCCCCATAATTGATGAGCTAAAGATATTATGGCGACGTGGAGTGCAGACATGGGATGTTATACAGTCAGAATATTTTACAATGCGTGCTTGCCTTATGTGAACAAACCAAAGAGTGAAACGCCAAAGACGAAATGAATTATAATAAAAGACTAAATGGATTATAAAATGGGTGGTTTGGATTGAATTTTAAAAATGAAAGGTGGGGATTAATTGGTATAACAATTGGTGTATGAAACTTGATTTATCTAGAATTTTCAAAACAGGATTATCCTGGTATGGGCAGAGGGGGAGAGAAGCGTCGAGGTACAGGCACTCTGAAAAACCCTGATTTTGATAACACATGGCTTAATGCTCTTTTGGAGAGTGATTTAAGTTTCAGGGCTGAATGGAATTCAAACAATGTAGTTTCTTCCATACCTCTTCAAAATGAAGAAAACACTTCAATCGCCCCTTCTACAAATCACTTGGCACATGGTAGTATTGGTGGTTCACAATCTCCCCTTCCCATTGGTGAAACAACACAAGGAATAGAACCTCCAAAACAAAGGGAGGAACAAAGAAATGAAGATGAACGAATGGTTATTGTCCCCGGGGAGTAAGAGATTTACATTGTGTATTAATTTATTTTATCATTGCTTTTTCTATCAATTACTTTATTATCATAATATGTTTGCAGTTTTTCAGTGAATAAAACTGTTCGTGAAGAAGTCAAGCGCATCAACAAAAGGTTGTTTAACGGAAAGGCCACTAGATTCTTAGGCATCCAAAATGCTCGAGATATATATTGGGAACAACTTGAGGCAAGTTTTTGTATAAATAAAATAACATGGTGATACATTGTATTTTACATCTAAATCTTGTTACTTAATGTGATGTTAATCTACCTTTATTCAACAGCAACGTTTTAGATGGGCTCCTGAGCATCACTCTAAAGTTTGGAAGAAGTATTTTGGATTGGTTGAAAGTGCATATCGGAGAAAAATGAATCGAATTCGAATAATTATTATAAAGAAATCAATCCAAGATTTTAAACCAGAAGAAGATTATTCACGTTTAATTCCGTTTCGACCTGAGGAAATAGGGGAGCAAAATTGGAGAAATTTATGTGCTGTTTGAAATACACCAGAGTGGAAAAAAAATCCAGAGCGGGTTCGACCAATCAGAGAGGCATTGTTCTTGAAGAAATTATTCTTCCTTTTTTTTTTTACTATTTTGTTATGGTATCCTCTTAGTTAATTGAGAACATTTATACATTTCAGAAATAAGCTAACATTTATTATTTCATCATTCATTTACATGTAGGCAAGCTACTTGACGGTGAGGTTACAACAAGAAGTTCATTGGGCACCAAGACAAAGTCTCAATTACTACAGGAAATTGTAAGAGCATGCAGTAATGTCTATGTCGTTAACTATTATTCACCAAATGTCCTAATATATTTTTTTTATAGTCTGCTCAACTTGGTCGTCCATGTCGCTTTGATGAGTTATTGCTACAAATGTGTACAAATTCGAAGACAGGTTGACCATTTCAGACTCGCCATTATCGAATTTTGGTAAATCACTATGTACTTTTGTGTTTAATTTTTCTTGTAAACAGGCCCGACTAAAAGCCCAAGAGCAACCTGAGCTGCTGCTCAGGGCCCAGGTTTGGTAGGGGCCCACTTTTTTAGTTACTCCAATACTTAACAAGTTGTGAATTAATTTTGTGGCATCATACAATTTTTTTTAGGGCAATTGGCTTTTCACTGCACCTCACAGTACTAGAAGATTAAAATTGAACCTAAGTACTTTTGATATTTTATTCTTATTCTAATTTTGTTTTTAGATCATTAATTAAATATGTTTAAAAAGACATGATTTTTAAAAGTTAGAGCATAAAAAGAAAAAAAATTAATTTTAGCTCCGGGCCTATAAATTTTAAGAAACGATCCTGCTTTTAAATGATATATATTTGACATTTTAACAGGAAGACTATTGTAAAATTGTGTGTGCTAAAAAAGGAGAAGATCGGGGTAAGTGGCCAGTCTTTGATAGAGATGCTTGGATTCAAGTGTCAGGCGGAGTGCAAAAGGGGGATCAATGGATAGGTGTCCCATTGCAATTTTCAAACCCCGTGGTATTTCATCCAGCCCGTGAGACCCCAAAGAAAAAAATTGTTTTTTGTAGTTCTTTATGAACAGAAAATGTTTACACTGCGTTATCTTATAGAAAATGAAAAGTGTGAGCTTTATTTAATTAAGAAATGACACAACATATTAGTAAAATCAACCTGTGTGTCTAGATAGGACCATTTAAGTCTTTCACCTAAATATGATCATTTGTTCTAACACTTGTTATTCTAAGATTGACTTGGTACGGGAGATAAAGCACTAATGTGATTCTTGTGAACAATATTGACATTTTTGAGGTGTATGAGTGTATCTATTCTTTTTTTTACATTGCAATTAATTTACTTATGTGTTATATGTTCTTGGAAATGTTATGTAAGGAGAATAAAAGTGAAGTCGAGCGTCTCAAAGAAGAATTGGAGGAGAAAGATGCAACAATGAAAGCGGAAATAGACAAATTACAAAAAGAACTCGACAAGACAAAAGGGCTTCAACAGAAAGAAAGAAAACGTCGTCGTGAGGTGGTTCAAGAGCTAAAAGATTTTAAGAACAGGTTCAATTCTTTGAATGCTTCAATGTCCAATATTCACCGTAGACTAGTAAAAAAGGTCTAATCGAAGAGTGTGAGATAAATCCTATGTCAGTCGCCAATGGATCTAGAAGCCAGAATAAATCTTTCCACCATTCAAAGACGAGGAACTCGAAAATTCATAGTCAATTTAAATTAGTGTGTGACGATAGCGGTGACTCCACTGATTCATTAAACTCAAACTCTGATGAAGAGTCTGATTAGAAGGTGAGGACCTTTGAAATTTAAATTAAATAAAAATATTATTATATTTCTTTTATTTTACTATCAAGTGTGTAATATTCTTGTATCGTATTGGTGAAGGAGACGCCCATTTCACTTGGAGGAGCTAAGATACTGAATGTCAGAATTCATTAATAAATTAAATCAATTGTTGTTCTTCTCTAAATTCTGTTTTTTTCCTTAAAAAATAAGCATCTCCTGTGATTGACGCATAACTATTAAAAAAGTACTCAGTTCATTTTGGAGTTGAAAATTCACATCTTCATCCTTATGGTTGGTTATTAACTTGTTGGAAAAGCTTGCATTACAATTTGACATATTTAGTTAATAATGCAAAATCACATGGGCTATAATACTTTTCATGTTTATTTTAATGGAGTGTTTTGCTTGAACAGGTATTATATATTGATGGTGTTGCAGCTCGTTTTACTACCTTGGACTAGGCAATAGATTGTGCTAATGACTAATGAGATGCTTGCAATTTGGACTAAGCAAATTATTTTTGTTGGTTTGAACCACTTTGTCAATTCTATTATGCACTCTTGTTGGTTTCTTAATTTTATTGATGTAAAAACATATTCTCTAATGTTTTTTTTATTTCTAATTGAAGAAATGAATGTGTGTATGGTTGTTATTAATTGGTATGTAAATCCCCCTCTGGTGTCCCACACCCCCACTGCCACCAAAAAAAATAATATTTTATTTTTTTTACATTCAGACTTTGAGAGACAGATTTCCGTCTCAAGACTAAGCTACCATTTTGCTACCAGCTGTAGATATTGAGACTGAAATTCAGTCTCTTATTTTCGTCTCATTTCCGTCCCTCATGCCAGGAAGACGAAAACAATGAGACAACTTGATCGTCTCTTTTCTGTCTCATAATAGAGACTAAATTGGGACGGAACTCCCGTCTCTGTGAGGCTTACATTCTTGTAGTGGAATTTAGCAGTACGAGGTTGAAAACGTACGTAAGGTGGGGGTGTTGGCACGAGGTAGGGGTAGTTGACGAGTGGCAGAAGATAGTTGGTGGGGAATATAGAGCAGAGGGCTAGTGTGGGTGGGTGGGGGCGGGGATGGACAAGTGGGGTGCAGTGGGTCTGGATATGGGGTAGCAAGGTAAAAGGGGGGGCGAGAGGTAGAGGTGGCGATGGGGGTTGACTGGGGGTAGCAGGCTGGTTATGAGGGGCTACGGGGTAGGGGTGGCGGTAGTAGGGGTTGAGCCGTAGCGGGAGGGTGGTGGGGCCGGGGGCATGGGTGAGGACGTGTAGTGAGTAGATTTTTTTTAAAAAAATCAAATGGAAATCATTTTTCCTTGATGATGAGTGTATTTTTTTCTTGGAAAATATTTTTCTACCATATATGTTATCAAACAAAAAAATGAAATCAAAATTTTTTGGGAAAATATTTCTCACCCAACCAAACGGCCCTTTGTACTCCGTCTTTTTCCAAAAGAAAAATAGATTTCCAAAAATGACAAGTTTTGACTATAAAAGTTTTTAAGTAGGGTGAATGATAATGTAAAGGGAAATTTAACTATATAGTATTAAACCATAGTGAGTTTTATAATGTATCACCATATGTTTTTATTTTCCAACGTAGTACCATTGATCAATATTCATTGAACCTTTTTCAAGTAAATATTTACTGCCACTGATGGATGTATTTCACCCAGAACCGGTCAAAGAAGATGTTCAAATTTTCAACCGGTCAAGGTTGACTTTCCAAGATGGGGGACCTGAATCGTCAGTAAAGCAATGCCAGGTTGACTTAAAGGTTGACCGGTATACTTCGGATAGTATACCGGTCAAACTACTTCTCACCCCGATCATCACCAATCTCGAGGAGCTTATCCTTCAGAAATAACCCGGTATGATTTCTAAGGTTAGGAAGTGTCGACAGAGAAGAATCAAAGAAGGGTTTCGACGGTAGTGATCGTGATCAGCGGAGAATCATTGAAGATACTTGGGCAATCCATCCAAAAGACTACGGGGGTGTTTGTTTTTTCTACAGGAAAAGGTCTGCAGTCTGCGGACCACTACTGTAGACATCTGCAGGAGAAGTGGTGGACCGAAGATCTGCGGTCTCCAAGAAGAAGACTGTTTGTTTTTTAATGTCTGTAGACTGCTATATAAATTAATGGTGGTAGTATACGGTGGTGGTGTATGGACGATTGTGGTGGTGGTGGAAGGTGGTGGTGAAGGGTGGTGGTGGACGGTGGTGGCGGTGGATGGTGGCGGTGGTGGTGGACGACGATGGTGATGGACAGNCGGTGGCGGTGATGGTGGACGGTGGTGATGGTGGTGGACGGTGGTGGTGGTGAAGAGAAGTAGAAGAAAAAAAAGAAGAAGATGTTGGAAGATGTTAGAAGACATAGGTTAATGTCTTCTCCAAGAAGATGCCAGGAAAACCTTTTTGAGTGAAATGTCTTCCAAAAAACAAACAATCTGCAGAGTTCAGCATCTCCTCGCGTCTGCGCGGCGCAGACAAAAGAGGCCAGAAGCTCTTCTGGCCAAAAAACAAACACCCCCTACGTAACAAGGAGGACACCTTCCTCACTAGGCGACAAGACCGCTAAAGGACGAAGGCCATCACCTCCCACCATCCAAGAATGTGCCTCAACGTGGGTGCACGACGTTTTGTCCCCTAAGTATTAGTATAAATACTAATGTAACCTTCAAGGGAAGGGATCCGAAATCCTTCTCTCTAAACTTCCTTGTAAAAGCTCCCGTGTATTCTCTTATATTTATAATATCAAGTGGGCTACAGGTGTTTCCACCTACAGTCCTCCCGGTCATTTGTGTGTTTTTACCTTTTTACTTCCCAAATCAAGTAAACAATCCTAGACCCGGTCTAGTATAGTTTACCCTTGGTAATTTACACCATCAGCCACTGAAAATTGTTCAAATTAAATGTCCACCAGCACTACACATTGTTCACGTCACTTGACATTATTTACGTACTATCATTTAGTGCAAATTTCACTAATGTAAATTTAACCGTACCATTTGGTCTGTCTTGAAATACCGAGTATAATTTTAAAATATTATATTTCTATAAAAGTAATTTACATCTAAATATAATTATTAATGTAATTATAAGTATTAACTGTTAAAACATTGCATAAGAGAGGTGGAAAGTTAATTAAATAAGAATTTGTTTAACTTTGAAGTAAAAGAGTTAAGATGAAGGTTAAAGTAAAAGTAAAAGAGTTATACTAACGTACTGGTAAATTTTATATTTGATCCTCTAAAACTGAGAATTTATTTTATTAGTAATTAATATGTACTCGACTATCAAATATTATATTTAGTCATTTATTTATGAATACCTTTTTACAGATAATCTTTAATTTGTTTTACCTTCCATCAAGTTGATGTTAAATTGAGGGCTAAAAATATAATTTTGCATGTGTTTTACATCTTGTCATGGCTATTGACAGAAGTCGTTGCTTACGTTTCATTTGTCCGCTAGAGCCACCGTCGATCGTAACCATAGTCCAATATTGTTCTCGCTGGTTGGAGCCTAAGTCCGCGACCATAGTCATTGTTGTTAGGGAGAAAGACCAAAATAGGACTAAAACATTGAAAATATACCAAAATAGGACTTACATTACCAAACATGGTCAAATACATTACCAAAAAAATATAGTAATGTGCACATGTACACTGCCACATTACCACAGTGCAAAATCACATTACCACAGTGAAAATATACCAAAATAGGAAAGAAACATGAAAGTCATATTTTGGTACTTTTCTCTATGTTTTAGTCTATTTAGGGTGATTTCTATTGTTGTTATGATTTCTGTTAAACCGTTCAGAAAATATGGTCGAACTTAAAGTTGATGTAAAGTTACGAGTACATTTTTAGCCATTAATTTAACACTAATTAACGTGACGGATGGTGAAGTAAAAAAATATTCGTAGAAATGTACAAATAATCGAATGACTAGTAATGTAATATTTTATAATAGAAGATTAAATATGAAAAAACTCTCAGTTTTAATGAAGTACTTTATTTTAATTGCAACCGTGATGATTGTAATGACAACAACAATAATAATAATAACATTAAAAATAAGAATAATAATGACAACAACAACAACAATAATAATAAAAATGCAATGAGAATAATATGAAAAAAAACACTTAAATACACTAGAAGAAGTTGAAAGAAAATGAAATAAAACTATAAGAGATTGAAAGAGACTAAAAAGAATTGGAAGAAACTGGAAGTTCGAAAAAACTAGAAGTTGGAAAAACTAAAATGAGTTAGAAGAAACTGAAAGAACTTTAAAAAAACTAAAAAATTAGAAGAAATTGAAGGGAAAAAGACCAAAGTAGGACTAAAACAATGAAAATATACCAAAATAGGACTTCCATGTTTTTAATTCCGAAATAAGACTTACATTACCAAACATGGTCATGTACATTACCAAAAAAGTATAGTAATGTGCACATGTACAGTGCCACATTACCACAATACAAAGTCCTATTTCGAGAAAAAAACATGAAAGTTCTATTTTGGTACTTTTCTCTATGTTTTAGTCCTATTTAGGGTGATTTTTAAAATTGAAACGAGTTGGAAAAAACTAAAAGATAAAAAACTATAGAAGTTAAAAAAACTAGAAAAAATTGAAAAACTTCCTTTCTAAAATGACTTACATGGATTCATGGAAGCCAAAACAAGGCAAACCCCAGGTTTTTAAAAAAAAATTTATTTAAAAATTAGTATAAAAATTAAAAAAATATTTAAAAATTACATAAAAAATTTTAAAAATAAAATATCACATGAACATTTAATCGCATCAAATAATCAGTGAAAAATACAAATATCCTAAAATTCCCATGAATTTGAAAGAGTAAATGTGTAAATCCTTTTAGGACAGAGGGAACCCGATACCCATTGGGTGCAAATGAGTTTACCATATCAAACACCATACAAATGGATCTATCTCTCCTTACAAGAATCATCTGGTTGCTAAGGGCTACCATACTAAAGATTCTCCACAGTTTATCCGAATGAAACAGTTATAAATTTAAAAACCTATTGAGTACATTTTTTACTGAAACACTTGGTAAGAAATTAGAAAATTTTGCTCATGCCACATTGTTGCCAAGCATTTGGTACAATAACCCCACACCAAAGAACTGGCCAAAAAAGAAAAATTGGAATTTCATCAAAAGCTTGCAAACCTGGTGAATCATATATGGTAGAGATTTGTCAAAACCCAGGGATTTCTCCAGGCAAAGGAGCCAACTCATTTTTGCCAAACCGATCTTCATCATAGAAGCCGGCACGAACAATTCTACCTCCAAAGAAACGCCCATCGAGTTCAATAAGAGCTTTCGTTGCTTCCTCTGCTCGCTCAAACTGGATGAATATTCGGACCGCTTCGTCGTGAGGGAAGTTTGGTTCGGTTATCTCAAATATAAGCACGCGTGTCACTGTGCCGAATTTCGTACACTCTTCTGCCACCTCTCCTTCTAGATCGTCGTCCACCTCACCGGGTCCCACCTGCAAGAAGAACCATAGGTTAACAGCAGTACAACCATAAGTTAGTTACCTACGCTGTTAAGAAATATGCTAACAATCTTCACACCACTGGAAAAAAAGTCATAGGATGGGCTAAACAAACCTCTGTTAATTAAGAAAGATACTAACTCGAGGCTTAATAATTGAATTGGGTCAATCTGACTTGCTATAAATAAAGCATGTTCACACACAAAAAAGAAATTCCAAAGAAGAAAAATATAGGGGAGGCATATGAAAACTGCACTTGTTGAGAAACTTGTTCCGTAGGATAAACCTGAATCTTAATGTAAGAAGAGGACTTAGATTCCTTTTGAATTTCCCTTGAATGCAGTTAAGGGATATCATGGTGGTATTTGAATTAAGCCCCATTTTTATCCAATTTATACTCCTGAAAACCCATCATAGAAATCTCTTGTCTCTGTAAGCATGCTAAACTTGAAAGCCTAAGGGCCTATTCTCTTCGTCTGATCTGAATTTATTAAGGTTTGACAAACCAGATTAGACAAGATCAGATCTGATCTCCAACAGCTTTAACTTTAACTAGAATCATATCATAAATTCTGATCAGCCAAAGAGAACAAGCCCTAAACTGCATTTCAACTTACATCCCCAAAGGTTTCCTATTGTTTACATTTTACAATGCACTATGAAACTACGTAGACTAGTAAAGTTTAAGTAGAATTGGACAGTGGATGTAGCTAGATGCAAATCATGCATATGCCATACATATGTTCAACTGTAATCCATCAAAAAAAAGGAGTAGATGTAAAGCCTATGTATATCTTGGCCCCAACACCCTATTCTTGAGTCGTGATTGGGATATACTAAGTGTGTTTGGTATGGATAGGATTATCGCCTGATGGTTACTCTTTTCCATAGAAGTTGGAACATTTTCTTATTCTGTGCTACTGCTTTGCTTCTCATCAATACGGCTTAGTTCCAGAATACGCCCAAATAACAATCAATTGAAAAAGAATGAGCTTTGAACAAGCCATCCACAGAATATGCTCAATTCCCTACAACTTACCACCTGAGGTCTAAAAGGCAGAGAAACACAAGATATAAAGTACACTCTACATGCAAAGCAACCACACTAGCAATCACAGTAATGTTCAAGGCAATAACCAGGTTGAATGTTCTTTTCAACAAAGATAGAAAACCAAAAACTAAAGAATGACAATGGAGACATACCATGTTCCTCAGCAGTACAACTCGGGTTGGTGGCATATTGAAAACGACACTCTTAACCTTCTTTTCTGGTTGTTTAACCTCCTCACTAGCTATAATCACCCCGCCTCTCTTATCGGTCTTCTTGGCCATCAAGGGAGTAGTAATGCCCTGTTCTTGCTTGCCGAGTCCCTGCCCTTCTTTCCAACCCATCTTTGCCATCATCCTCTGTGCAGCCGTCATAGTCATCTTTCCTTCTGCTCCCATTCCCAACCCTAATCCAGCAGTGTCAGACCTTCCCCCAATATTGAACTCTCCATTTCCGGGAGGAGGTGATGGTGACCTTGGCGCAGCACCACCTCCGGCGCTCATAGCAGCTCTTCGCCGCCATGCCTCCTCGCCGGAGAGGTTCAATTCCCTCTCTCGCTCCCGCTCCCTCTCTTTCTCTTTTTCCTTCTCCCTCTCCATCTCCCTCCTCTCCCTTTCCCTCAGCTCCGCCTCCATCAGCTTCCTTTTCTTCTCCCTCCTGTACTCCTCATAGTCATTAGGCCGGGCCGGATCGTACTCGTCAAGGACGGTGCTGGTAATGGCCACCAACGCCGGCTGGAACGATGCCGGCGGATGGGAATTAGGATTAGGGTTAGTATTCTCATTTGTCTGATTGGGGTCGGGTTTGGGGGGTTTGGGCTTGAGTAGGGTTTGAGGTCGGAGAGCAGTATGGGGCGCGGCGAAGGGTTTGCGGAGGGCGGACGGGGCCATCTTCGCGGTGCTGCTGGACCAAACGCTACCGGCGGCCGACTTCTCATCTTGCTCGGTAGAGGAAGACGGCGGTGGGAGATCGCCGAACAAGCCACCCACCATTTTTGGCTACCCAATTAGCAAGAGATGGGAGGAATTCCGATTGCCGATTCCGGCGAATTGCAGTAAGGTGGTTTGGGTGGTGCTTTTCCCGGGTCGGGTTTTGCGAGGAAGACAACCCAGTAGCGAACTGCTTACAGCGCGTGGTGCTGATGTCAACGGCTGATGGTTTCTTTGCATGTTTACTCAATATAAATTTTGAGTTTTAATTAAATAAAAATTGAATTTATATTTATTTACAAAATAGAAATAATTTTGATAGATTCATTTTGTTGAAAATTTTCAAGATTTCATTTTATTATGTTAATATGCAACATAAATTATGAATAATTAAAATTATTATTCAATTTGACTCATAAAATTTAAATTGAATAAATATATTAAAACGAAAATAGTATCGAGTAGAATTTGATATGAACAACAAAAAAATTATTTTTTATATTGTGATTCCAACTAATAATATAAGTTGAAGAAGACAAATTCTTAACATTGTTGACAAACATTGGAAAGGAAAAATGCTAAAATAAAAAATAATTTGAGCATATTTTTCTAGAGTTAGAAAAAAAGATGGATGTTGGGAAAACCTCAAGAAAAAATTGAAAGAACTTCAAAAACCTATAAGAAACTACAGAAAGCTACAAAAGTTGAAAAAAATCAAAAAAAAATATGAAAAAGCTTTAAACAACCAGAAGAACTAGAAAAAAAACTAAATGTAGCTGGAAAAACTTAATAATATTGAAAAAAATGAAAAATGTTGAAATTAATTTTATACTTTAGAATAAGAAAAATGAAAAAAGTTGAAATAGTCATATACTCTATATATTGTAACTCCTTCTATTGTAATTATTCATTATATTTTGTTATCCAATTTGTGTTTTAATATTTGGGTCATTTTTTCTTTTCCATAATATTATATTGTAGTATAATTATTATTTTTTAATTTAGAATAGTGATATTTTTCGCCATGTCACCGACGATTAATAAAAAATATCATTTTTATCCATGATTTTTGAATTATATATTAGTGACATGTCAATTAATAAATAAAAAAAATTGTATTATTAATTATTTTAAAACATGGAAGAAAAATAATAATAATTGTGAATCAAAAAATAGTCAAATGAGAAGAGAATTAAAACGGAAAAATTGAAATAAACTATGGAGTATAAAGTATAGTTATTAACATAATAATAATAATAGAATAATAATAATAGTAATAATAATAACATGAAAATTATATAATTTTTCAAATCATTCTTTGAGAAAACTAGAAAAGGTTTGAATAACATGAGAATAATTGAAAAAACAAGGAATAAAAAGAAATTGGAAAGAACTATAAAAAAGTTGGAAGAAAATGATTACATTTTTAAAACTTGCATTGAACATATAGATTACAACAGGATTGACAATTGACTGATCCTCGAAAGAACCAAAATATAGGAAACACGTTTGTAATTTTCCACCCGTCTCAAATTAAATTATCTATTATTATTATTATCAAAGTTTAGATAAATTTATTTTCAACTCAATATAATTAAAAATTTATATGAAATTAAAATAAATACATATTGAAATTTATATATTTTAGAAAGTACATCAAAGATTTACAAAATAGGTGTTAATAAAATGTGGTTAAAATAATAAACAAATAATTTAAACTGAGGCTCGAGGAATAATTGATAAATAGAGACTAAAAAATATTTTAAAAATAGGGAGTAATTTGCTTCATAAATTAAGAGAATTAAAAAGATAATGGTTCTCATAAGCAGCGGATGGCAGCTCCCGGTTTCTTCAGAACAACTCTCTTCCCATCCGTCTCCTTCCCTGCCGCCATTTCAGTCTCTCCCACTCAACCCAGCTCCTTTCTCCTCAAAGCATCAAATGTAGACCCATCTTCCCCAATTCCTCGTTTCTAATTTCATCTTCCCCATAAAAAGTGTCCTTTTCCCTCTGCTAATTGATCTCACAGACTTCGCATCAATTTCTGATTTTTCTTTTTGCTGGATTACAGATGGAAGGGAGTGAGATTGAAGCGGAAGAGGAGGCCGGAAGCATCCAGAGGAAGAGAGTATTTGTTGCAGGTGCCGGCGGGAACACCGGGAGGAGGATCGTCGAACAGCTTCTGACAAAGGGGTTTTCTGTCAGGGCCGGAGTCCGGGACGTGGAGAAGGCGAAAACAGGCTTGCCTTTAGGAAACCCTAATCTTCAATTTGTGAGTGTCAAATTAGTTATTCCATTTTGCCCTTGAATTTCCCTACTTTATACTGCTGCGAATTCAATACTCCTGTCAATTGGTTTTTAGATAGATTCTCACGATTCTACATAGAGGGTGTTTGGGAGTGTGGCAATTTTTGAAAAAGCAGAAGTTGTCAAAGCAGAAAACAGATATTTTTAACTTTGCTTAAAAGCACAGAGCCCATTTTAGACGGCAGAAGTCATAATCTATAAGCAGAAACAGATTGGCAAACACAACAAACACTATTTTAGTGAAGCAAAAGCTCATAAATAGTTTTTAAACACAATCCCAAGTGCCCTCATAGTATCAGAGCCCAGATTTGAAATTAAGCTCATGTCTACTCGAGAAACAAGTTGTTTTTGAGGGATGTTGTTGAGGATATCAGTTGCTCTTGCTCATCAAAAATTCAGACTAGAGAAAGACTTATATAAGAATATAAGTTACTCCTTCCATTGTAAATGAATTTTGGGATGGGTTCTTGCAGATCTAAAGTCACAAATCTTACGTCGTCATTTTGTTAAAAATAAATGTTCACACTTGACCAAACAAAATTTGCACGTGAGGAGTGTGTTATAATATCCTCCGCAAAACTTTTCTTTAGTTTTTAACCACAAGTTTAAGCTTGTGGTTGAGTTGGTTCATTGACAATGCTATTGTCTAGACAGTATGTAGCCAGAGCTTGATAGGGGGTTGTAGAACAAAGCTTGCAATAAAACTAAATTACTGTGCCTGCTTTGAGGATCAAAGCATTAGAGCTTTAGTACTCCACTCTTGGAGTATGACTGTCTATCAGCCTATACCAATGAAAGCATCAAACTCACCCTCTTTGTTTGCAAGCGACTGACCAAAAAAACCTGTGTGTTTCTATGCACAAATTACCGTCTGTATCACATGCTCCACTAAACAAGCTCACCTTGCCGACGAGTAAGAAAAATGGGTCCTCGGTTTGCACCATCACATCCACTCAGATCGTTCACTTATTTTACCCAAATGTAACTCTACCAACCATGTTCGTAAAACATACAGGTGAACATTAATTTTTTTACGAAATTTGGGTGGCGGTGAGATTCAGACTCATGATCTTCGGTCAACAAGGCTCTGATACCATGTTAAATAACCAACTCAACCACAAGCTCAATATTGTGGTTGGAGCCCCATAAATATTTTTATATTTTTTATTTTTACATTAGCATTGCATTGGTGATTAAGAGGGATGGATGGTAAGGACTTATTGGTTTTTTCACTTGCTGGATATTTATTTTCAGGTAAAAGCTGATGTAACAGAGGGATGTAATAAATTAGCAGATGCAATAGGTGAAGATACAGATGCAGTGATATGTGCAACAGGGTTTCAGCCTTCATGGGATTTATTTTCTCCATGGAAGGTGAGTAGGGTGAATACTTACTGCTACTGATGCCTTGAACTTTGTAGTTACCTTGTTCTTCAAAGTTTCATGCAAATCCTCCAAAAGACAGTCTTAAGTACCATTCATAAGAAGTTAATAATGCAACAAATATATGTGCAATTGTGTGTTCTACTCCTTTTTTGACCCGACCCTGCAGTCTAATCCCTGCACATTGATTGCTCCTGCTTATATGCATGTATGAAGGGGTGAACGTACTTTGGGTGCAACCTGATTTTTTAAAATCAGAAACAAGCCTAAACGAAATAATAAAGGCCGGGTTTGAATCATGTCGGGTCAAACCCAAGTTCCTACCCAAGACAGCCAGAGGGCTGGCGGCGAGGTTTGTTGGAGGGGTTAGGGGGAGGACTGAGTCCTAGGCCCAATGGAGCACTGTAGGGTCCCCGTGTAATATTAAGGCACTGTAATCTGGTGTCAAAAGAATCGTAGCGAACTTTGTAATACACCATATGACCAAAGTTTGTAATTTATAAATTACCTACTCTATATTTCAATTGAAGATTCTTTCTTATTTTCCCCATCTGTGATCTGTCCCAGTGTGATTGTCGGAGTGTGTTTATCCAGATTGTGTTTGATATTTTACCTTCGATCATCATTTAAATAAAAATTGTATTGCACATTTTACAAAAGTGATTCAATTAGGCATATCTTGTATAATACTCACGTCCCAAAATATCCTCACTCTTTCTTTTTTCATTCGTCCAAAAAAGCTTAACTTTTCTTTTCTAACCACTCTTTTTCTCTTTTCAATTTTTAAACTCCGTGAAATCAAACAGGAAAGTTTTTATAGGACAAAGTGTATTGATTTAATGGATCATCAAAGTTTGTCGAGTTTAACTACAAAAAGTCAAATTGGGCAAACACACTATGAGAGACGGAGTATATTTTTGTGACTATTTGTATCAGTTACAGTCTTACAGATACACTAATGGTTATATACTACTCTAATTACAAGCTACTCCACTGTCCACATATGGTTGTCTATTTAGAGTATATATATAGAAGAAAGAAAAATAATTTGAACCACATAAGCATTTCTTAAAGGGAAAGAGAAGATAATTTTGGAACAGATGAAGAAAAGAAACCCTGGAAATGTATTTGTTGCACTATCTTATTGACTTGGCCTAAAATTATTTATTTATGAATTTAGGGGCCGGATAGCCCAAACCCACACATTCCCACTCGCACCTTAAATGCATCAACTCTTTGTTTTGTTTGGATATCTCTTAAAATATTGTGTTACAACATTTTATGGTTCGAAACTAGGGATGGAGCAAAAAACCCAGCATATGCTCAGTCTTACTGAATGGCCTCAACCCTCTGCTCACTTTCATTTTTCAGTAGTTTCACCAGTACATTCCATTTTGCAGGTGGATAACTTTGGAACAGTAAACCTTGTGGATGCATGCAGGAAGCGCGGAGTGAATCGGTTCGTCCTTATCAGTTCAATCTTAGTAAATGGAGCGGCAATG